CTTCCAATTGGTTTCCGCCTCTCACCTATCAAGGTACACTTAAACAACTAGAATATATTACAAAGTGTAGCGCCTTAAGGCTTCCCATAAGGTGGAAGAAGGCATAAGTGAGTTTAAATACATGTATTCCGAAGACGACAGGGCAAATGGAGCCCGAGTGTGGCCCGAAGTCCAGCCCATGCGTACAGGAGCAAGACGAATTCTAAGTTGACTACCAAACGTCAGGTAGTCACATAAACAAAGCAGTTCAGTAAGTATTCTTGGTACTTCCCTTACCCTCGTAGTCTAGGGCTGGCCTCAGTTATGGTAAAGGTGGAATCCATCCTGATGATTTCGTGTACCTAATAGAAAGTTTCAAACTTCTATACTAATAGCCATGATAATTTATTTTCTGCTGCGAAAGACTTTATTATTAGACAAACCTCATTTCCGCATTTCAATAAGTCTTTGCAATGCACCAGCATCTCTTCCTCTAGTTTTACTGTTAGTAAATATACAATCTTATTGCCATTATTTAGCAAACATTTTCTTTGCTTTTAGATAAGGGGGAAGAAAGCAGTTTTGAGTAACTCAATAACGTTATTTGTGTGTTTTACCAGTTGTGCTTGATAATGTGAGGTGCGCTTTTTGATTTGAGAAGGCACGTACAATTTGGTGTGTATTGGTTATTCGCTTAGCTGGCCCTCTGGGTTTATTATTGCAGTAATCCATTCTACTTTTTACGTGCCTATAATGGGCTTGTTCTTCGTGCATTCTAAGCAATTGAATTTTATTTCTTGGGAGGGTTGTGGCACGAAGTGTAGGCCTATTTCCTTTGAGCCATATAGTCTTTTTCCGTTTCACCTTTTCGAGGACAAATGTTTGGGAATTTTATTATTTGTAAGCTAGTCGCAAGCAACAGCTGCTAGATACTAAGGCTTATACATTTGGGCATTTTATGCATTATGCAAACAAATTGCATTTTGGTGGAAGCAATATTAAGATGGCATATTTTTCTAGATGTCGCTTTCTATCTCCTCGCAAGTCGACAGATTAAAGGATGCTTTGGTATCAGCCGCTTCATCTGAAGCTCTTTGTATGCTAATACACTCACTCGACGATAATGGTATTCTGACCCTTCTACTCAGCTTATTTAGCAGATTTCACAGTTGAAGACACTTCTGCAACTAATTTTCCTGACGGAGCAAAGATATTTGAGGCTTTATCACATAGTCAGCTGTACTCTTGATCTATTCCTAACTATTTTGTAGAACAAAAGCAAGTCTCTGAATATGCAGATAAAGTCGCCGTCCTTCAGGAGAAGATAAATGTATTTGGTTATTTGTTTTTGCTCATTTTTAGGCAACGCGTCAACGCGTGCTCCAGAAATTGAAAGATGCTGGCTGGAACGAAGACGATGTTCCTTTGTCGCATAAAGAAGCAAGTGGTTTTAAATTTGCATTTCTCATACAATCGTTTTGGTCACAGTGATGCGTAAGAGACTTGTACATCATGCTTTTTGGTGAATGTGTTGTGGTTTCAGTTAAGGAACCGGTTGGATTTTAAAGTCAACCATCTTACAAGCCTAATGGTGAGTAAACGGGAATTCTTAGAGGAGGCAAAACGTCGAAGAGATGTTGAAAAGGAAGAACTTGCTGTTTCACAGCAAGAATCAAGCATCATAGCCAATGCTCACCACTCATCCGCCCCCGAGGATAACATTAATACGTAAGCTCTGAGATGGACTGCTTTTCGCCATCACAGTAATTAGTTGCAGCCCTCCTCTCACCTTTTCATCAATACAGGTTGATTGACGAGTGGATGAACAGTCGACTGGGCCAACTTTCGCTTCGCGACAACAATCATGTCGTGCTGGACACCTCTAAATCATCCATTTTAAAGGATATTCCACTATCTCTCGAAGGTGGCACCAGGTTTAGGTGTCTCCTCAAGCAGCCTCGCGATTGTGAAGCAGCTTTTGGAGTCGAAAATTTACATGTGTGTTTTTGCTGCATCACCTTCGCATTTGTCGTTCGTCATACTGACTCTGGTTTTGGTTTTCAGCCTCTTGGTGGATCCATGGAGGCCATGAAAATTGCGCAAGCTGCCACACAAGCTATGACTCCTTCGATCGCGGTCAACCATGCTATTTGGGAGCAGTTTTCAGAAACAATCAAGTAGTGGTTGTCATTTACAATTGCTGCCAAAGACTACGCAACTCCTATCACTCACGCCTTCCTCATTACTAGAATTGTAATGGAATTGGTCAATTTTCTCATCTCCCCCGTGGTTGAGAATATTCAGATCATCTGTAAATCACATTTGTATTTACCGTTTGCGGTACCGATGGGATGTTCAATCTCATGTGGCGTGTATAACGCGGCAGGGCGGGAATGTGGAGGGTGAGAAGGGAAATAGATAAATGGGAATGGACAGGTGAATTGTTTCATGGGTCTGTTGCCTCAACCTGGCCACAGTCTTCGGACAACTTCCGTCTGCTGCGCCAGAAGTAGAGAATTTTGTAGGCGGCCATGCGTTCACGTTGTCGCTCGTACGTGTTACTTATAGGCACAACTGGTTCCTTCGCCGCCTTGGCAACAAAGTTGGTCCTATCTATAGTGCCTTCCTGGTTCTGTGAGCTGCCCATCTCAACTTGTTCAACTAGGGTGTCGGGGTGTTCTGTAGTGAGACGGCCAAGGAAATTGCGAGTGAGAGCGTCCAGAAGGTCCATACAGAAAACGCGATCTTGAGAACAAATTGGAATGGATAGACAGGCCAGGCGGATACGGTTGGGTCGAGGGATGCCCAGCGGAGGACCAATGCGTTCAACAAATTCCTCCAAGCATTGCAGTTCGATGAAGCCGAGAGCGTGGACATCGTAGAGCTCCCAAATTTCGTAGAATGCATCGAACTCATCCTAACACAAAAAATTTTACCGTTTCTGACATTTAAGTGATTGCAGAGGTAATACACAGCCTTCAAAATGGCTGCAACCCACTTGTGTTAGGCCTTGTTGGACGTCTTCAGTAGCCTGACTAAAGTTTTCCAAGATGACAGCAATGTACATGTTGATGATAACCATGAAGGAGATGATGAGGTACGAGACGAGAAATAATGTAGCCCATAGAAAGTTGCCACAAGTTCCCTCCTCCTGACTACAATACGCAGGGTCTGTATTGCTCAAGCCCTCGAATACACTGCTCCAGCCTATGAGAGATTAAAATTTATCTCAATAGATGGCAGAAACCGTATTCTCGTTGCTCAACGTGGGTAACATGTGAGGAGATTGTTTGAAATTCAATAAAATTTACCAGCAGATGTTGATATTTGTAGCAGTATGATGAAAGCCTGTGGAAAGGTCTCGAAGTTGAACTCCGCATCAATTCCTGCGTAGTAGGCTACCTTTCCAAAGAAGGACATGCCAACAATTGAATAGACAAAAGCCGTAAGGAAGAGGAGAAGAGCCACATTGAACAGTGCCGGCAGTGACACGATTAGTGCAAAGAGGAGGGTGCGAATTCCACGCGCCGATTTAACCAAGCGCAGCACTCGACCCACCCGAAAGAGACGCACGATTCGTATTGTTGTCGGTGGAACAGGCAGAGTTGTCATTAGGTCCTCCAGTCCCCAACCTAAGGAATCGAGTAGTTATTTTTACGAATAATATTTGGGGACGTTTACGTAGGTGACATCATCTACTCAAGCAAAGAAACTTACAAACGAGGGAAAATATAACAATGCAACAGTCAAAAATATTCCACGGGTCCTTAAAGTAGTACCAGCGTTGACCAATGAGTTTGAGAACAAATTCACAGGTAAATATGATGATGAACATTTTGTTAACAATCTCCATTGTCTGTTTCATCGTCTCCGGCTGGTGGTGATGCTCAAAGCACATGATGAGGGTGTTCAGTCCAATCATCCCCAAAATGAAGAGATCGAAGTTGCGGTTAGAAATCACCTTGAAGATCCACCTCGAGATCCAGAACTGCAACACAGAAAACTGAGGTTGCTCATCCATCCATCACGTCAAAGTGTCCAACTTGCGTTGAACTTATTCGAAGTTAGAAGCAAGCAATTCGATTGCCATTTGAATAAACAATATCTATACTACTGAATTATATTTAATAGAAACGGTCATCTTTTAAAACCTCGGCAGCACATTTCATCGAAAGGGAAACAGTTCCACGTAGCGAAAAAGAAATGGAAGAAAGTTGGGAACGTGGACACGCGTTTGAGATTGAAAGTCACTTAAGAAATTGTATTTCTGGCGGCAAGGATAGATACAAGCAATTTGATAGACAGTAGACCAAAGAATATCGGTGTTTGGAGACCCCGGTCACCAGACAGTGGTGTTCTAAGTGCATGCGGCACAACAAAAAGGCATGCCAAATATGTCCCATTGGTGAGGTAAAGCCTTATCAAGTTCATAAGGCTTTAGAAGGTTCGCGATTATATGGTTCTACCATGTCCTGTCGAGGACACAAATCTACAGCAATTTCAGCTTCTACGAAAACCCTAAAGTGGCAATCTATAAGAACAATGCAGAAAAGCCTCAAAAAGAGTCTTAGGATGGACCAAGGTGCTCTAATATTGTGTATCATGGTATTCGAACAGTCGCTCAACCCCGCAATAAGTAGTACAAGTCCTTTCAAAAAGTTTAAGCATACCTTTGGCTTTGGAATGGGCTTCTGAGGAGTTCGTCTGACCATCTTTTTCATAGCGTGGTAATACTTTTTCTGGTCCTCCGTCATAAACAATTCGAGGGATCCTCCCACCTAAAAATAAGTTTCCACTTAAAAAGTACAGCAAAAAGGATCGACTGCATGAGAATGCGCGTTAAAAGCATTAACAGGGTAGAGACAAGCGTGGAAACTTGAAGATGTTACTATTCAAATTTGCTCTTCACTGCCACAGTGAGAAACTGAAATGATGGACAGAATTGACAAAGCATAAAGAAGACCGACTATACCTTCTTTTTTTGCATATTGAAGTTCTGAATAATGACACCAATGAAGAGGTTTAGGGTGAAAAACGATCCCACAATGATGAAGAGGACGAAAAAGAGGTAGTATGAAGTGGCATTATTATACACCGGCTGTTGGTCGTACTAAAAAGGATAAAGACAAATTATTTACACTTCCATTCGCTTCCATCCACATCCCCAGTCCCTCTTAATCAAATTTGGTAGTGTGATGAAACGCTTACATCAGTTATATCAACTGCGTCAGACATTATTTCAATCCACCCCTTGAAAGTGGCCTACAACAGAGGAGAACAAGTTCTCAAGGAGTGGATAATGTGCAAGCCATAATGAGCAGTGAGATCACCTCTTTGGATATGGAACTTACCACTTGCAAGAGAGCAAGAAACCCGTTGGGCACATTATCAAAGTTGATTTTTGAGTTATCCCAGCTGACGTTTTTGAAGAGCCTCTTGTGCAGTTCACACACTGTACGATTCGGATATTGGTCTGCAGGCAGTCGTTCACCGGTCGCCTCACTGACACACTTTCTAAACTTCCCACCTGCACAAAGAAAGACTTGATTGTGAGGAAAAGGTAGAGGTGACATGAGCACTCATACAAAATTGCTGCAATCATCCTCAATACAACCCAAATGTGATTCTGTTGTGAGCTGACAAACAGCCGTGGGGTTCTTTCTCCTTCAGTAAGTTACTGCTTGCTGTCTGAAAATGATCAGAAACGCTAATCCTCCCCCGGCAGCTCCGCCAAAGGACAACCAACTGTATTTATACAGCTGTGACAGTCGTAAAGGTGAGAGGAGAGCACATGCTACAAATGGCAGCACCTGCGACGACGCCGACGTGACCTACGGGAAAGCCGACTGTAGCGAAACTGCTTAAAAGGATTCTTTCCTCCTATGATTCTCAATGAGGTCGCACCAACAGTTTAGCGACAGCCCATCATCCAATCCAGTGGAACTGCAAGGAGGCACCAGTGACAGCGACCACAATGGCGACCTCAGAAGCGATTAAACTCCCTCTCCCTCATCTCCGGGAGAACTGAGAGATAACGTGCAAGGGAAGGGCAAGGCTCTATATCTAATTACTAGAGAGAATTGACGCGTACCAGGTTGTATTCACGTTCTATGCCCACGCTAGTAGCCTCCCGATCGACATTAATGAGACCAGTTGCCAGAACTATGAAAACTAAAGTAATAAAACGAACTTCGACTTGGTTTGACATAGTAACGTATGTCCCTTACCGAACAGCTGCATTCCCATGATAGAACAGATGAGCCAAAATACAAAGCAGACCAAGACAACGTTGCAAATAGAGGGAATCGCCTGTAACAACGCGTTCACCACAAGCTAAAACGCGTAATGAGTAAAAACAGCATACTTTAAAAGGGGTAAGAAAAAATGCGTGATAATGCTGATTGCAAAGACCTACTCGCATCCCCTCCCATCGTGAAAGCGCTCTCAACGGCCGGAGAGCCCGCAGCGTTCGCATCGCCTTGAATGAATTCATACTCGACTTTCCATCCTCCTTCCCATAGCTCAGTATCATGCTTGTGACGGCAATCTGTGACATGGCAATTTGAAAGGACAATGGTAAATTTAAAGCAGACCAGACTTGGCATATACCCTTCAACCACATTTACAGACCAGTGATAGGGGTTACGAACTCTCAGCTCGTTGTAGCAAGGAAAGATGGCAGAAAGAGCAAAATCAAACAAGTAAAATAGCAATAAGTCGTATTGAAGTAGTCCCAAAATAAGCTTTAGATCTCGTCCTCTCTCCTCTGCCTGAAGAACGAAAGAGCAAACGTCTCTAGGGAGTCAAAAAAGCAATCGGTACTTGCTGTGACTATGGTGAAGTCAAGCCAACACCAGGCATCGCTGAAGAATTTGCGTACACCGTAGGCAAACCACTTGAGAATGATCTCCATGAGAAAGATGAAGGTGAACAACTTATCCATGTAATCTAGTGCCATCTTCAGTCGCGGTCTGGAGGGAAGATGCTTGTCTTCGAGAGCCTAAAGAAAAAATGCTTGGGAAGATGAAAAGACTACCAACTTTTTTGAGGGTATGGAAATTTGCCCAACAAATACTTGAACAGGCACACTTCTCATTCCCGTTTTGGTGCCTTATCGCTGGAAGTAGGTAGATGGTAGTCTGCAAGCACAGTTTCTACGCACAGTGAGAAGACCCTGCCAGGATTTTTGAGGTTTCATTGAAAAACCAGTCACGTGAGTTAAAACTGCTCCAGTCAGCGCTGTTGGAGACGTGCCAGCTAGATCTATTCACCCCCTTCATCGATAATTATTCGATTCAGAAGTGCTTGCCAAATGAAGTCACTCTTGTCAAATTTTGACTATGAAACAACGAATCTTTGTCTCGACTCTTTCACCATCTGACACACCAACTTGTCTTATAACCAATCAAACGCGAGGCCTTCAAATTGTCCGCTAATTGACAAGTTACCCCATAAAGCAGTGAGGGTGAGTGACTCACCAGAGTTCCGCTGCTAATAATTATCATTATGAAGATAAAGCTTTCAAAATAGCGATTTTCCACAATGTGGTAGCACACTTGTCGCAGATGTCGCCATCCGGACCCCATTTTTGAGTCCAAGAGGTCCTTGAACAGAGGACTGATTTGATTCCAAATCCATGGAGCACAACAGTCCTCCGGATGTTCCCACACGGCCATGTCAACAGATTCGGCCTCTAACATCTCCTCAAGGTCGTTGCTGCCTTCACTACCACCGTCAGTGGCATCGACCTCCTGAATGTTCATTGGAATGCTTGAAGCTTTTTCCTCTGGTGAACTGAGAGAACTGTAAAATGTGAAACATTCCAAGTTTTCTTAGATGTAGTGATGCAAACTGTCTTGTCAGGAAAACCTTTTATATGAACAGAGATTTACAAAGAATGCGATGTTCTTCCTAATGCATAGGTCAAGACCAGAAAGGAGCTTGGGCAAAACCATCTTCACCTTATCGTTGGAAGAATGATACGGGATCAAGGGAGGCATCTATATAGCCAGTACACTTACTCTGTTCGTAGGAGTAATATATTTTCTGGCGAGTGTCCACAACTTCGCGATTTGAACTTAAGCTCCGGTGCTGAAAGTGATCAGAAAATAGAAATGACTCGTAATTCGTTTTCAGTGCATTCGTTAGCTGCTGTTTTGGGGTATAGCAGAAGATACACACGAGATCAATACGCAATTTTATTCACGTTTTTGCAGCTACAATGGTCTTGCGGTCAGGAGGACCATCTCTGAGGATCCCTTATTTTCCTACTGATCGAATAGACGGATGTGGTGATGACAGAGATGCGTGACACTTGGACAAAGCAGCAAAGAGGAATAGCCGCTAGTCTTATTGCCTCGGACCTATTTTAAGCACCGTGTTTTGTTACACAGCACTGCTTTAAGACCAAAGTTCTTTCGCGGATAGCAATGGTCGCATTTATAGGACATTTCGTTTTTCATTCACCTAAAATCATTTCCGACTAAAAGATGATACCAAATTTGAACATTATATTCAAACATCGTCTCTGTTGCATGCGATCTGTACCCTAGGTGTCTTTCAAGGCCCTCAGGTTGCAATGACGTCGTGGATATAGGGATTGACCAAACCGAGCACAGGAACTGGCACGTGATTTTTTAGGACGGCAGAACATTATGCACTGTCTTAATTACTTCTTCAACAGTTTTTTTCATTAGTAATGGTACTTCTCCACAAATACTAGTTAATATAGATAACGGCAATATTTCCCATCTCTAAGGTGCCGCAGCATATGCCTCTCAAATGCAATTTTGAGAGCCTCGTGCACTTCTATTTGCCTGATTCGAATGGGTCTACAGATAGTGGGATGAGTCTATAAAATGGAGACCGGTGAGGGCTTGTACCTGTCAGGGAATCCTCGATGGTGATAGGGTTCTGAAGAACCACGTCCACCGCTTTCGATGGCGCCGTCTGCAAGTGGATTAGCTGAGTGCCATGCATAATGTGGTTTAAACTTTTGGACCTACAATAAAAGTCATACGATGATATCGAGTGTAATGGTAAAACATCACATAAAGTTGACAAAAGTAAAGCTACAATATAGCTGTATAGTCGACGTGAGGCTATGAAGATCAAAGAAGAGGTTGTATAAGTTCTGAATAGCTACATAGGCAAATGTTGTAAATAAAATTCAAGCTTTGCCCAGATCGACTACAGAAATTTTTTTTATAAATTAGCTTTTCTGACATTCCAGACATACTTAAAGCGTTTTGGAGGCCTTCGAAGCTCTTGCCTCAGGTTAAAGACATTTTTATGTCGGATCTACCTTCATCATAATCGAAACTCAATATCAGTACCAAAGTTTCCTCCTTTTAAAGCACTGTATATTTGACTGCCTGTTTAAGTGCCAAGCAGTTTAAAAGGCATTATACTCCTGCTGGATGAACTGGCCTTCAGACTATGTCAAAGTCCCACTTCTACACCACTTTCCAGAAAACAGGCATCTAATCAGAACTTATGGCTCCTATCAGCAACCGGGAAGTTTGGGTGTATTACATGTCCTGCTACTAAAGTTTTAACACACTGTTTTGGCCGTTAACAACACTGACCCACTTCTACAGCAACCTCGGCGTCCGCGGGGAGTGAAGGCTTTCTGTATGTTTAATTTTGTCCAGACAGCAAAACGGTAGATGCGATCCAGTGCTTCTTGTAATTTATTGTGATCACCTGGCTCCTCTTCCTTCTGAAAGCTTTCAGCACTAAACGAACTTAATAGGAGGGCCAGGAAGAGGCTTAGAACCTGGAACAAAGTCAAAAGTTGACCCCTTTAGTTCCTAGTGGACATGGTGACTGTAAAACTTATCATTTATTTAACTTGCCGCATGCAGGGGAGAGTTGGGAAGCCAATTTTTACACTGTGGTTGAGGAGGGGGAGAGTCCTTCCTGTGACTGTTGTAGATACTGATTTATCTATATTTATTCCTCTCTTCAGTTTGTACCGCTTTTAGTGATGCCAAACAAAACTCTTGGAGCAACCCTCCCCTATGAAGACTGCGATGAAGAATCAAGAGAGCATGGTCGCAGACATTACAGTAGCGTTTATAAATAACTTCGGTGCATCTATAATTCCGTCAAAAAAAGTCATATTTTGTTTGGAAAAAGCTCATGTTTTGTTTACTAGATTAGGTAGTCTGCTCACTTGTGAGTCCATGGGACTGCAACAGACAGTAAAGTATCACCATCCGTTGACAAATGCTCGTAAGCTCAGAGTAAACAATCTGACTTCTTAAAATTTGCGGTAACAAGCAGTACCAGCAGCCAACGGACACAAAAACAAAAGTTTCGGGAGAGTAATTCCTAATATCATTTGCATTTCAATGTTATGCAAAATTAAATTTCCACGTGCATTGCGATTCAAATTAATATTTATGCGCCTTATAGTGGCCTTCCTCTTTTGTTTCAATTTATCGATGCGCCAAGATGCAACCTTCGTGACCAGTTCTACTTTCGTCTCGGAATGTGGATGGTGTGGTTATTGTTTGATGTTATTGTATGAGTGAAGCTGCTACAATTGGTGGTCGTTTTTTTACCGTCAGGATGTATATGTCTTTTGAAATATGATCTAAGATCACGAAGGTGGATAGAGAATGTACATAAAGTCTATTGCTTTGGCTATTTTTGGTTAATACCAAATCAAAATTTAAGTGTCTTGGCTCACTTTTATGTCGCAAGTTTTTCAGTTTTTACATTGAAGAATTAATGATTGCTTATTGATACTCGAATGGGAACTAAATGGCAATCCAAAGTGATGTATCTAATGCAAAAATGCTGTGGAAATTAACTGGTCCTTATGTCTTTAAAGACACATAAAATGAGCTTAAGTGTTCATCTACTATGTAGCTTAAGTTAAGGTAAGCTTCAACAAGCCTAATGGAATCATGAGTGTGGCTTAAGATGCCAAAAAGGGTATTTAGTGATGATTGCTGTTTATTTTGTCATATCTATCAAGTTAACAAGTAGTTCGTGATATAAAGGTTTGTACATACCACTAAATTTCCGAGAACCATTGTCATCAAGAAGAAGATAGTGCAGCTCCATCCGTTCACCTCGAGGCAGTCCCACATAGACTCAATCCACTCGCCACACAAAACCCGAAAGACAATCATAAAGGAGTGTGTGAAATCGCAGAAATTCCATCGTGGAATTTTGCCACAGCGTTCAGGAAAACGCGTAACATTTTTGAATTGGTGATAGCTCTCACCAAATAGCGACATTCCAAGAACCGCAAAGACGAATATGGAGATCATAAGAACAGCTGTGAGGTTGCCTAGGGCATTTAGAGTCATGGCAACGATAGAAAAGAGTAACTTCATTGTTTGCCATGATTTAGCCAACTTAAACACTCTCAACTAAATCCAAAGAAAAAGAAAGCGTTTAAAAGTGCCTAAATCAGTTACCTTGGTGGTATACAGTTGTTTTTATCCAATGCCTTACCAATCGAAATGCCCGCAGGATGGAGAGACCTCGGATGGTGGTCAAGGGTATCTCCACCAAACTGAAGACTACAATTGCAAAGTCAAAGATATTCCAAGAGTCCGCGAAGTACTCCTTACTTCCAAGTGCAACCAACTTGAGAAATGCTTCCACAGTGAAGGTGGTAGTAAAAAACTACAATGGTTAAAATAAACACCTTATTCAAAACAACCTCATAGGATGTGGTTTAGGTCTAAAACTGTAAAGATGCTTGTGTCTCATGTCTTTCGACGTCTTGGTGAGCAGTAGAAGGTACACATCAGAGAAGATTATATATAATGCATCATT